CACAGAACATATCATCTGACATACAACATGAATTAACAGTAAATAACATCAGCAACAATTAATTGATGGGGGGTACCTGTGCTGTTATAAAGAAGGCATGTTTGTCAAATCTATACCAGTCAGCTTGGCGTGGATGCACACAGAGGTGAAAATGGGATGTACAATCAATAGCCCCCATGGCACCACCAAATGGGTGCAGCTGAAGATTGGGTGGTGTAAAGATTGGCGCAAGCCAACGCAAAGAAATATATAATTTTCAGCAGGATGAATTTGATTTCCCATTGGACAGTAGTTTGGTTGACATTAAAATAAATGGCCAAAGTGCTGTATGTAGGGTAATGGCGAAGCCAGTGCAAGACAAGAACAAGGCAGTGGTGAGGATGGAGGGCAGTTATTGTCTTGCACCTGCATCCTTTTGTGGAGTGAGGTGGACAAAGATGAGGATGAAGATCATCTAGAATGGCAAAGAAAAAATCTTCAAAAATTCCAGTGAATTCATGGATCTTGAATGTGGTAAGGGGAAGCATTTGGCACATGGGACAATGAGGTGTAGGTACATGATAAGGTTCTGGGGGTTGGTGTTGGGGATGTAGAGCCTTGTAATGCTGTAATCTTTGTCTTGTTTCAGCTTTGGAAATGAGAGAAAAGAGAAAAGAAATATTGAGAGAAGCAATGCATGGAGGAAGCGAAGATGCTGCCAAAGCCAATGCTGGTAGAAAAGGAGGAGAAGAAGCAGCATTGCAACATGCACTCACCTGCCTGCACTTTGGGTACTTTAAGGAGATATTCTGCGATTTTTTTTTGGTGCATTTTAGCTGAAATACCATTAGGGGGGGGCTAAAAGTTGTATGATTGAAGCTGCTGGAGATCACTCTACCAACCCATGCAACCATCCACACCTGTACGCCTTCACCAATTAATCAATTCCTTTGTTAATCTTGGCTAAACACAATGGAAAAGGTCACATCATGGCAATTCACACCATTGCTGCCCAGAACAAGTGGAGAGTGACCTACACTTGCCTTGCCTCTCATCCTCAGGTATTTATGTACCTGTTCACATGGCAGTGGTTGGCGGTTGGTGGTGGTGGTGTGTGGACAGTTGGCATGTGTGTGGACAGTTGGCATGTGTGTGTGGGTATGTGGGTGGTTGGACATGTGGGATTGTCAGTGGTGGGCATGTCAGTGGTGGGCGTGTGGGTGTGTGGGTGGTCAGTGGTTGGTGTGTGGGCAGTTGGCGGGGTTTTATGTGGACTAATCCGGAAAGGGGCGGAGGAGCAGGGGCAGCAGACGTATAAAGAGGGCGCCCTCTCCATCTCCTCTCACCGGGGCACTTGTCTCCTCTCGCCCCATTTCGCCTCCCAAGAAAGTGTCGACTTGTGTGGAGGTATTTGTCGACTACCTGAGCTTGCCACGCGCCGCAGCCTTTCTTAGTCGGCAAAAACTCAGTAGTCTACAAATAAACACTTTTCTTTAATTATCATTTATGTCCGCCGGAAATAAGCCCGTCCCTTGTCGGCAGTCGGCCAAGGGCCAGTTTATCGACAAGCACCGAGCTTGCAACCGCCTCAATAGAGTGGGTTGATCGAAAATGAGCCCAAGGCTCTGTGGAGGTTGCGCCACACCAGCCTAAAAAAAAGTGCAGAAGGTGTACTTGAAACAACCACGCAGTGTACATTAGCAACCATACATTGGCATGGTGCTCATTGGGTTGGTGTTTGCTGGGGAGTTGGCCAGTTGGCCACCCACCTGCAGGAATTTGCAGTGGTTGAGGGTCAGGCTCAGAAGCACTCAAGCAACATTGGGGTTTATTACATTCCAGCTACACAAGTAGCACTGTAGATACCAAGACATGATCTAGACAGAGATGGAGTTCCACAGCTGGC